CTGAGTCTGCTAGTTAGTCAAAACTTCTGAAACAAAGTACCAAATTACCAGAGATTTCTCAGGACATGCACAAAACTAGGAAAATTACTTCACATAGAATATAAAGAAGGAGAGTTAGAAAGCTGAATGACAAATGTAGAAGTGATAAGAGATAGGACACCTGAACTGGTAAAAGTTTGGAGAGAAAGAATACTAAAAGAGAAGCAATGCAACTAAAATGTTTAAATATACTAATAAAAAGGGTAAGACCACAGGGATGAAGGCTTCTAAAAATATTAAGTGATATGTTGGTTTACATTCTCCATTTTGGCTAAAATTAAATTTAGTTTTGTGGAAAATATTTTCACAAAAGCTTCTTATAAAACTGAAATATTCCCCTCAGCTCTGCAAAACATAGTAACTCCTAAACCCCATTGATTTGCTATGCTCCATCAATTGGCACTGTACAACCAACTAACCTATCTCCCTTTAGATTTACAATGACATTTTAAAAGGTTGAGAAAACAACCTTCCACCTCTCAGCCACAGGGGAAAAAGAAGTTACTTGCAAAACCTGCAGTCCTAAGGAGTTGTAAATGATTCGAAGTCAATATATGATAAATCATTACACTTGGAAATAAGCACTCTGTTCAGTGCAGAGAGAATGTTAAGCTTCTTAGCAAAGCAACCTTTTTAGCTCTGGATGCTGTTCCACTGCTAAACTATTTTTATAGCAAGCTAAGATGTCACTTTAGAGGTATCTTAATGCATTATGTCCTGGGTTTGCACACCAAAGAGTAGAACAGATACCTTAAAAAATTTGCATTAAACACAAGTCTACAGCAGATCTTCATACTGTTTTTGAGGCTGGGCTGCATTTACCCCAGTACTGCAGAGGAAGTGCTGGGGTTTGTTTTCCAGAGGTATTCGTTGTAAAGAGGTGCTGAAATTGCAGTTAGCTTAGAAACCAGTTCACCAGAATCCAACAATGGTGCAGAAAATCGACCACAAACAGGTCTACAATGATAGCACACAGAGTGAAAATTAATATGTGTCCCGTAAATAATTGCCTTCATGCCTCATTGCAAATGCAGTAGTTAAACATTTCTGTCTTGTGAGTAATTTCCTATTCACAGTTTGTGGGAAGGCATAAATGTAAAGAAAACAGGTTTGGGGTCCTTTTGTCATTTTTTTTTTGTTTTGTTTTGTTTTTCAGTCTGCTAATTTCAATTCACAAACACCATGGGAACCTGCAATTCCAATTTTCTTTTCACAGTATTAATGAAAACTGGGCACTGAAAATAGTTAGATTTTTTTTTCCCCTCTAAATTTTAAACCACTTAGAAATACAGTCAAGAATAACTTTCTAATCCATTATTACACAATGTAAAACTATGCTCAATTGCTATTATTTCATGTAAAGTTTTTCATAAGTGGTAGAAGAGGCTTTTAGAACCTCAGTTACTTCTAAGCTGGTCTTTGAGGCAGTACAAAAATGCTGGTTATGTGCTGTTGAGAGGAAGATCTGTGCATCAGAGAAGTTGTTTAAAGAAGGAATCCTTGCACCACAAGATGACAATCATTTCCTCTCACTGTTAGGGCAAGGTTTGAGCATATTTAGTGCCTTTATGTTTTTGTCTTGTTCCTAATCAAACCAACATCAATTTATTGTTTTAATAAATAGATAGTTTCAGGGTTTAGTTTTTGGGTATATTTTTGAGACAAGTGTTTACTCTAAAAAATCAGAGTAATATTTATGTCATTTAATCTTAACATACTCCAATAAGGTATTTCAGATCTCATTTACAGTAAGATGTCTGGGATGAAGTTGGTATCTTTTTCATGCTTCAGACACTGCAAGTGACTGCAGCTGAGGAGCAGACAAGGTTACCTGCAGACACACCTCTGCTGCTCTGCCAGGAGCCAATGGCTCTGCCTGGTCCAGCTACCAAGGTGCTGGGAAGAAAAGTGCATCCAGTGCTTCCCAAAGAGTTGGGAAGCAAAGAGCACAATTGCTGTAAATTTATAATCTTCATTTGCTCTCTACCGAGATCATCTTCCATCCCTTGCAATAGTTCCTGTCTAGCAGGGAAAAAAAGATACAGGTAAATTCCCCTTGGAATTGAATCTTAGTCTTAGTCAAACAAAGGTACTGCTTAAATAGAAGGCAGAAGGCAGCTGTTTCAGCAATGTTTTGGATGTGGATTGATTTATTTATAAATATTTCAGAAGAAAATAAAGCTGGCTTTTTTCCAGTGGCCCTTTCCTCCCTGTCTCAGGGAGTACTGCTTTGGTATATACCCCATTAGCTGTTCCTATCTAAGGTGCTCACAGACAAACCTATATACTTTGTAAAACTTTTCTATTTCCTCCTCCTCCATTTGTCTGGAGGCCCTTCTAGGTTAAAAGCATATTTTGATGTAAATGGAACAAAAATAGCAAGTCCTTTTCTTTGCTGAACTGCTCCTTTTCCAGAAAGCCAAACAAATGCAACAACAGATGCTTTGAAATGTTTAAATAGGATTAATGTAGTGGTTGAATATTTCTCAGAGACTTGGGTTAAATGAGATAATTGTGAAAATATTCTTAAAATAAAAGGAAGCCATCAGATGAGAGGCATGAATTTAGGTAGCATTGGAAAATATACCTTAAATGTTTCTTTAAGGTTGCAATATTAGAATGTTTTCCTCTGAGCAAGCTGTTAAGTGTCATTTAGTAGACATTAATTGTAAAGTCAGTTGACAGTACTTGGCCCAAATGAATGTGTCTTAAAGAGAAAGAGAAGCTGTTAATCCATCAGGTATTGACAGTGTATTCAGTGGTTTCTATTATTTCTCAGACAGAAATTAATTTCCTGAAATCTCATACAGTAAGATACGACTCTGTCTCATTTTCATTCACTATGGAAATACTCAGTCTTTGTTCTGCACACAATGCATTGTCTCTTGTAAAACAGTAAATGACACCCTAAGTGTAAAAGAATATCCATTTTCTACAATAGCTACAATGAACAAACAGGATCTAAACCAGTCGCTGTCTACTTTGGAACAGGACACCTTTCTTAGTAGGGTGGCATCTGCCCTGAAATGACAAAAACATCTTAAAAACTTCAAGATCTCTTGTGTAGCCATAGAAAGTACCAAGTGCACCAACTCATAACAAGTAAGAACTTCCAGAAGGATACAAAAAGTTAAAATACTATTTGATATGGAGTTTTTTGTATCTTACTGTTTTGCCTCTGTTCTTTCAGCCAAACAAAATGTCAGCTTCTTTAAACCTGTTTGAAATAACTGCCAGGAAGAGGTGTTCAGCAGTAAGAACACAAATCATCAATAAATAAATGATGAGTAATACTAGGGTGGAGAAGGAACTTATTCTTTTGGGGAGCTGTGGCTTTTTTCTTATGTTTTATTATTCATAGGCCAATTGTAGATGTCTATAGCTGGTGGCTGCTTCCAATTGTGGTTGTCCAAACTTGCTCCAATTTTTTGACCAGTGCTGACAGTTTGGCTGGCATTACCTTTAATGTAGCATCCTTAAAATCACCATCTTCCTATTATGCCTTTACAGTGCTTAAAAAAGTGACTATGGAGTGTAGTGGGCTTTTGTGCACTTTGAGCAAGACACTTTTCTAACACACTTCAGTACAGTGCTACCTGTAGGCACACCCTGATGAAGTTAATATTATGAATATATTTTAAAACTAGCATTTAGTACTTTTAGTTAGCATCTATACTTTACTGATTGAATTTTTAGCCATGTATAATGATTTAAAATGCAGTTCCTCTAAGCCAGCCTGGCTCTCCTGAGCTCAGCCAAGGATGGCCATGCTGAGGATACACAGCCTCCCAGGAGTTTGGAAATGCTGGTGTAATCAGAGGAATACTGCATAAAACCAGATATTTTCATTTTTGTCCATGACACTTGTTATGTTAGAGAAGATCTAGCTCAGCTATCATTACTTTAAATGATTCTATATAAAGATGTGCCTCCCCTCCTGCTGCAAAATTCAACAAAGAAAGGAGATCATGGAAAATGTAAAAGCACTGTGTGTGCTGTGAGCATTTAAACTAGAAATTCCTCCTGGAATTAGGGTTTCATTCCTCATGGCAAGAGGACAAAATATGCCAGACAACACAATAGTTCCTATCAAGAATATTTTCCACTGTGAAGACATAGGTCAGTTCTATTCATATCACAGCTGAAAAGACCAGAGTGTGGCCTCAGAGATGGATTCTTAGGCGGCCGAGTCCTTGCTCTGTGCAATTTGAGAGGTTTTCTTGGGATATAAAGCAATCCTTGAAGGAACATCTGATAATAGCATCAATGATGAAAAGAGGGAATGGGAGAAATTGAGTGAAAAAGTGCTCTGAAGTGTAGCCATATTCAAGGAGGACCCTGAATTAGAAAATAGGAGGTAGGTTTGGATAGCTCTCTAAAAGTGCTAAGAGTAAATATAATTACTTTTTTAAAAAGAAAAAAAAAATATTAGAAGGAAAGGAGAAACTGAGAAGCTTGGTGAGGGAAGTGTACAGGAGAGCTGAGGATACACTATTTCTAGTGAATTTATTGGCTGCTATCAGCCATTTTCTTTTTTTCCTCCCTCCATTCTGTCTTGGCGTCACTGCCTTGTCAATAAATAGAATGATGTCACTTTCCTTACAAAAAGAGAAAGAGAGAGGGAGAGAGGGAGGGAGAGGGAAATTCTTTCCTCTGAGATGTTCATGCCCCTGCATTTAAATTATGGCACGCCTGTTGTTTTAGATTATTTAGGCATGATTTGCTTAATAACACACTGGGACAAATTATACCTCTGAAGACTAGAACGAGACATTCCTTGCTGTCCTTTTCCTTGTTTAAAAGCTTGAAAAAGGGATGGGCTGCAACCCTAACTGGTTTTGGACTGGAAGAGGGCGGCAGTGGGTGCAGGTAGGATACGTGACCGTAGCAGCAGACATGAGTGACTCCTTGATGTGCAAACCCAACGATCACCTCTCCTTTCTTTCCTTCTCTACCCACAGCAAACCCTACCAGGGCAGGAGGAGGAAGGGAGTACCCCGGCTCGTCCGAGGTGATCCGTGAATCCAGCAGCACGACGGGCATGGTGGTTGGGATCGTGGCAGCAGCGGCGCTGTGCATCCTCATCCTCCTGTATGCCATGTACAAGTACAGGAATCGAGACGAAGGATCCTACCACGTGGATGAGAGTCGAAACTACATCAGTAACTCAGCACAATCCAATGGGGCTGTGATCAAGGAGAAACAGCCCAACAGCGCTAAAAGTTCCAACAAAAACAAGAAAAATAAGGATAAGGAGTACTATGTCTGATCTCAACATCTAAAAGAACGCTTGTATAGAAATAGTCTTCATTTTATCTGAGACATAATACAAACTTATTTACTTTACTTTTTATGAAGCACATTCAAAAACAAACAAACAGAAAAGACAGGGAATGCAATCAGAAAGGAAAGACTGTTTTTAAAAACAAGCATTTCATGCTCTTGTTTTTCAGAAACAGGAGCTGATAAATTCCCTAACATCCACAGTGTTTTCATTTACTCTGCCTGTCTTTATGTTGCTGGAACGTTTCTGAAAGACAATGATGACACCACGCATTCATAAAGCAAGGAGTATTACTACAACATCGAGGCACAATATGAAAAAAAAATCAAATTAAAAAAAAAACAAAACAGGAAAAAAAAAGAAAAAAGAAGCTACCTATGATTCTGGATTTAGCCAAAGTGCTAGCGCTTTCTTGAGAAGTAAGTTAGTCTTATTGTCAGAGAAGACTGTCATTATATATGGTGACTCAACAAGCAAACATAGAGTTTGCCATCTGGTGCAGTGAAGCAGTGATTGGAAACTTGCATTTTGAAACAAAGTGCTGGCTTTTCTGAAGACTTATGTAGAAATACTTTCAAAAAGCCCCTTTCTGGTTGTGAGGAAAATAGTACGGAGGCCTTATTTTCAAAAACAAAAACAAAAATCTGGAATATAAGGCACATTTCCACAAAAAAAAAAAAAAAAAAGAAAAAAAAGAAAAAAAAAAGAAAAACAAGAGGGCATAGATGCAATCATTGGGAAATTTTCATGCACGCTTAATATGTTATTACATATGTTTATATAAAAACACATCTATATGTGCTTTCTGGACTGTGATAAGTGATGTTTTATAGCCTGTTGTATAGAAAATGCAAACTATATCTGCTCTTCAACCATTTTTGGTAAACTCAATGTTATAAGTGTTGCTAGGTATAGAAAGTTTTATGACATCTGGAGCAACAGACATTCTTCAGTTTTTTTGCAGCCATTATAAATTGTCCCAGACTTTTTCCCCTTTTTTTTTTTAATTTTTAATTTACAGTGTAGTGGTTATACAAAGGGGGATGTGTATGAATGTATATAAGAGTCAGCTAATTTTTTTCTTACCTGTACAGCTCTATTATGTTGCAATTAAGTTTCAGTAGTTTGTATGAAAGAAGTGGACTAGAAAGCAAAAATATATCTCTACTGTAATTTGTCTTCTCCCTCCTATCTCCATCTCTTGCTCCTGATATGCATCAATGAAGTTGATCAAAATGGCCAATTTTCCTAGAAATATACATTCATTAATTAGCTAAATATTTAGTTTCTTAAACTGGCCTTTGGCTTCCAGTCAAAGCTTCACTATTGGAGAGCATGGTTTGCCTTAGAGAAACCTTGTTCTTAGAAATTACAAGAATGATGAGTGTCTTGAGAATCTTAGGAAGTATCATATAGTGTTTATCTGGCATTCATATGAAGAACAGCTTCTACAGCACTGGGTGGTGAAAGATCTAAAAATACCCATTGCAATTATCCAGGCTGATTCTATTGCAGAATTTATCCCTTTCTCCAAAAAGGAAATACTCTTGAAGTGCACGATAGTATTTTTCAATGGTGGGCATTTTGACATATGAAAAAGTATTTTTTAGCTAAGTTGATTGTGTAGTATTGCAAGACATCATAACCAGACAGATATAAGTTCATTATGTTTTAAAGTGACACAGCTTATCTCGCATATATAAAACATTAATGCATTTTAGTTAAACACATGAAATGTAATGCTGTAATTTACATGTTAAGTTTGGAATTTTTTTCTAGTAGTATTTCATTAGTTTCACAGCAATAAATCATAACATAACATTTTATTTACACAGAAGTTCAAAGGGAATACATTAGACAGAAAGAGGGTAGTTCAATAGAAATCAACCAAATCATCAGAAGGCCTCCTGGGAGGGATATAGATATTCACACTTTACAGACAGGAAAGAGAAATTTAAAATTAGCTTTAAACAGCAGACACAAAACGTTTTGTTGTGTCTTACTCACTGTAGCTGATGAAAAAAGTTGGGAACTGGTACAGCTATCTATCTGGGAGTCAGAGCACTTTAAAAATACATGTAGCTGACATGAAAACACCTCTCTTGAAGTTTGCCAACCACATCAAGGTGTGCCATGTTGCATTTGTGAAAAGACTTTATTTTCATTAGCATTTACACAAAAATGAAGAAAAAACCAAAACCACAAAAAAGCCACAAAATCCACCTGATGTTCATTTCTTAGATTGTTGCTCACCTGTGGCACTCATAATTTCTCCCACCTTTACAAGACAGCTGTACTCAGGGAATGGCAGGGGCAAGGGTGACTGGAGGTTATTGCTGGAAGCAAGAGGGGGGAAAGAAGTTGAAAGCCAGGTGGTGTTCAGACTTCAGTGCTTGAAGATACCTAGAAGAACAAGAGTAATCTGTTGACAGGAGACTGGACATGACAGAATATGATTTGGGCAAGATGAAACGGTCTTTTCTGCTTGGTGTTGATTGCATTAATGAAATAGTGTTGTCAGGATAACTTCCAGGCAGTTAAAAATCAATCTTTAACTAAATCCATACATTAAAAAAAAACCCAAAAAACCTGCTACTATTAAAATAAGAAAACATGATTTTAACACTGTTTCTGAAGGTTCTCCTTTTTTCCTCTTTAATTTCATAATTTAACAAAAAAAACAAAAACAAAACAATTATGGATGTATCAGAAATGCCAGCAAGTGGATTTAAAATTCCTTTTTGTTTAAAAGCAGCAACAACAAACAAACAGACATAAACCAACTACCTAATATAAAATTGGATCCTTTCTCTATAGTAACCTAATTTGTTTGACTGAGATGGCTTCATTTCTATGACTGTATTGTGTTGCCTTTTTTAACAAAACACTAAATAACATGTGAAACTTTCAACCCTAAGACATCAAAGAGAGGCCCAATGCCCCTAACCTTATAGTGCTTTCTGTGATAGATATTTACAATTTTTTTATTTGTTGCAAGGCCAATTTATTCATTATTGGAAATGCTAAGCAAGTGGAATTTACTGTTTTGTTAATAAAAATGTTTCTTAATACAAATGATGGCTTGTTTCTTCTCTTGCTCTTAGATTGTGAGTACCGGTTCATCTTGAGGCTGTGAAAAAAATTGGTAAATTGGTATGAAGTTACAGACATTCATGTTAGGAAAAAGTCACATGAGAGCTCTTTGTATACTTCAGTGAAAACCTTCTACAAGTCTTGTGTTCAACTGGCCCAGTTAGAAATGTATTAATGACATCAATGAATTGTTTTTGTACAGACTTGCTTAATTTGAAAATTTCTAGTACTTTTTTAAATCAAAAAATTAAAACTTGATGTTCTCTTCCTCCTCTGTATGAAAAAAGAACTCCCCTTTTTGCCACTTTTTGATTTCTGCAGTGGCAATAAGGAGGAGAAGGGTAAGGTAATGGGATGAAAAGTTAAAACCTTTGTTAAAATTAAAAACATTTTCTCTTCTCTAGAAGACGATTTAAAATTAAAGGGGAAATGAATGTATTTCAGGTCCTTAAAAACATTTCTAGATAATAATTACAAAATTTCAGCCGGAGCTAATCCATTACGTAAGTGCTTTCCTACTTCGCATGGCATTTAAATTCATGGGCAATTTCAAGCAAACATCTAATCCTATTGATTTAAGTGAGTGTCTAAACTTGCTTAAATGTACTGCTGAATGGGGATGGAGTTAAGCTTTTGGATCTAAGCTCCAAATATAATTCAATTTTGTATCATCTTAAATCACATCAGCAGCTTTTTGACTTCAATGAGATTTATTCATCTGCTTAATTACGTATAGACTGAAGTATTTTAGATAATTTAAGATCAGGAATATCTGGAGAAAAACAATCCCTGTCTTCCATTGGTATAAAGCACTTTGAAAGTTCTAAACTGCTTTATACTGTGATTAAGTCTTGAGAGTGTGCTTAAATAAATACTGACTATTCCATTTAGGAAAATGCTTTATAGACACCTGAAGGAGCTGTATCAGTGGTTTTTGTTCTACTACTACTACTACAAAAAAACCCAAAAAAAACCCTAAACCAAAAAAAACAACCAAAACCAACTCACATTTAATTATAAACTTTTAAATTATACAATTTATTTGTTCTTTTTTGCATCTATACGGTTTGCTCCCTTTTACCAAAATCCTAATGGCCTCTCACTACCTGCATAATTCATCATTATCTGGCCACTATAAATGGTGGCCTCCGTCATCAATTACCACTGTGGTCAAGTAGCTAAAAAGTCTTCACAAGGTGATGAGAAAAGAGAAAAAATTAAACAATACCCCCAAATCCCCCAAATGTGACTTACAGTGAGGGAAATAAAACACACATAGGCTGTAAATGACAACTGGGTTTGTTAATTCCTCCTACGCAACTTCTTTATAGTTCAATTAAACAGTTTTAAATTGGAGTTCTGGGTCTGATTTTAGTTTTGATTATAGAAGTTTGCTTTTAAGTTCAGTACAAGCCTGTATAGAGGTGCTTAGTGCTATTGAGCTGGGTGAGGTACTCTTGTCAGTATAATTTTATTTGGAATGCAGGCTATTTAGTTTATTTTAAAGCCCACAGTTTTTTTAAAGTCTGTGAGTATTTCAGTGTTAAAATGTTTCTGGCTCTCATGGTAGTGGGGAGAAAGAGAAATCCATACTACATTTAATTCAATTTATAAATCCATAAATGCTTGGGAATGATAAAACTTCTTGCCTGCCAGCCTCCGATTTGACTGCAACTGATTTGTTTGGTCACTGCTCTTCACGAAACCAGAAGCATCCTCCACAGGTTAAGCTTTGAACTCGAAATTCCAGAAAAGATACAGATGAGCTCAGTTTTGTCAGACACAGGGCCAAAACTCAACCTGTCCTTTACTCACTTCCTTTGGAGGCTTCTTCCAACTGATGGTCTTTGACAGACTTTGGCCACCAACTCTAACTTCTGTAAAAGAAAGTCTGGTCCCTTTCTTTTTCTCTCTCAGTCACTCACTACTACACAAATATCTTCATTTCACAGAATCACAGAATATGCTGAGTTGGAAAGGGTCCATCAGGATCATGGAGTCCAACTCCTGGCACTGCACAGAACACTCCAAGGGTCACACCCTGTGCCTGAGAGCATTGTCCAAACTCTTCTTGAACTCTGCCTTGGTGCTGTGACCGCTGCCCTGGGGAGCCTGTTCCAGTTCCCAACCTCCCTCTGGGTGAAAAACCTTTTCCTGATATCCAACCAAAACCTCCCCTACACACCTTCATGCCATTCCCTTGGATCCTGTCTCTAGTCAGCAGAGAGAAGAGATCAGTGCCTGCCCCTCTGCTTCCCCTCACAAGGCAGCTTTAGACCACTGTGTTCAGAACAAACAGATTTCCATATGACATTGCTCCTCCAGTTGGGCTTGATTGTGGTAGACACTGAGGGTTTTTTAAAGAAGAAAAAAGGTGACATAAGGAGTAGAGTTATTTCAAAGGGTGTGGGATTTTCAGTGAGTAAATTGGCTTTAAGTACAGTAATTTCATGCTGGCATACACTTGAGAGGTTTAGAAATCCAGGTCAGTAATCCTCAAAAACATCCTTTTGGTAAACAATAAAGGCATGAGCTCGTTTGTCAGCAAGTGCAGGGACCAACAGCAAGGCTATCAAAATGTGAATGTGTCAGTCTGGTTTCAGCAAATAACACAGGGAAATGGAATTTGGGCAGCTAAAAATAGCTGTTGTCACACTGGCTGGACTCTTATGAGTGAGTCCAACTACAAGCCAGTAACAATTTATTGGATGATAAACAGCAAAATACTTCTATTATAGTCTCAGTTTGGGATGCAGCTGACAGAACAGAGGCCAGGGCTGTGGGGCTGTATTGGCTTTTCCAGGACCAGCTTGCTGTTCAGGTGTCTTCCAAGCTGGGGCACTGGGCAGGCTCCACACAGCCACCTGCTGCACGACAGATCATCAGGTGTTTCCAGAAAATATCCCTTTTCCCTTTCAATTGAGATACATTTTCTAGGAATAGTACAGCAGCTTGCTTTGTGGAACACACTGAGTGGCTCCCAAAATATGTCCCACCACAGCCAGCATCATCTTAAAGAGAAACCGTGGCTGCAGGTCCAGGTGAGAAACCTCCACTCTGTTCCGGATTGCCTTGGCCTCGGGACCCCCTCAGGATGGGCAGATGTGAGGAGGGCAGGACATGAGAGCTGCAGGCACTAGGCTGGTGTGGTCACAGAAAGGGGGGAAATTCAGCTGTGAGGGTCTCACAGCCAGGACTGCTTGGGGAACTTGCCCCACGGCTCGTGGCTTGGCAAAGCTAGGGAAGGCACAGGTTTTCCTTAGTTACCAAGTGACTCAAAGGGAAAAAAATGTTCCTCAAAGAGGTGGTGGCACGGAGAGTTCAGGAATTTCATTAGGATTTGCTTCAGTGTTCCTTTAGCATTTTCCCTGTCTGTTCTTCACACCAGAGAGGAGCAGCTCAGGCCTCCTGTGCCTGGGGAAGGAGGCCAGGCAGAGAAAACCTCCCACAGGCATTAAACTCAGCCCACAACAATATGGGATCCCTAACTTTCTAGGACACCAGGCCTCAAAAGTTTGGACCAGAAAGTTGATTCAGGATGAGATCCAGCCGCATGCTTTATTAAACCATGAGGACAGAGAAAAATTTCAGCACAAGATGTAAAAATGTTAGAGAAGAAAATGATAATGCAAACAGACAGCCCTGGGAAATCCTACCCCATCTGCCACAGTCTTGTAATCAGCCTTTCAGGTGGTTTAATTCCTTGTTGATTACACCTGGAGAGGGAGCAGGCTTGTTACAGCATCCCACCTGGCAGAGAAGTTGTGCTGCTAGCAAGCACCGAGCTTATTGTAGTTACCAGACCCTTTGCTCTATGTGTGATCTAGTTGTACAAAGATTTTCCTTTAGATCAGGATCGCTGGCTACCAATCTGGAGATGGATATTTAGTGACTTATATTTGATTTATGGGCAGGTCCAGGGAGCAGGAAAAGAACGTAATTCTGTGAGAGAAATGAATTAAAAAGCCCCAAAACCCAAGCAGGGTTTGTCTTACGCTTGCCAGAAAATTTTCATATAACGGGCAGAGGAATTTCAGGTAATTAAGTCTTGGTGTGTTGCTGGATGGTGCTTGGGAAAGACAAGTTTGTACCCACTTTTCCTAAAGGCTAAATTTGTTTGGGAGCTCATTTATACCTGTCTTCAGGCTCTTTTTAGGGAAGTCTTTCAAAATATTGATAGTACAACAGTCATCACCTCTAAGTTTCTCATCTATTTTAAGAGCTTTCTCTAAATATGGGCTGCTGGATTTGACTCACAGGCTTGCTGCACTAGCAAGCACAGAATAAATTTGTAGGTCATGGTAGCTGATGGTGTCGACCTAATGTCCATGTTATATTTAAGGATTTTCTTTGAACCAGTTGTAGTCTAGTCATACAGACTGAGTGCCAATTAGTGGTTAGGTTTGTCCATGTAGTTAGTTTAATCTGCAAAGTGTCAGGTCTTTCATGCAGAGCACTCTGTGAAGTTAATTGTAGGGAGTGGGAGAAGCTGAGTTGCTTCAGAACTGTATACCTGATCTTGAATAAAACTTTAGTGTTGAAAACATCCTTTGGGCTTTGGTATATTCCAGTGTGCTCATAACAACTCACTGCAAGAAAAGTAGGGTATTTTTAGTACCCAGCCCCAAATGACAATTGCTGTTAGACATAAAGGCCTCCCTTGTATTTTAACAAGACTCAGTGTCTTTAGTTCTGGCCCTCATCTTCCTCTTTAACCACCACACTGCTGCATAGCATCCCCTCAACCCTTTTCTTCAAACCTGAAGGCTTTACAAGGCTTGTTTCCTTTGAATAAGTTGAGATAAATAAGGAAGTATTTTGAGGTGGCACTGTCTGAGGGAGCCATGTCACCAGCATTGAGATCAGCAATCATGCAATTGTAACTTGCAGAAGTATTGTGCAAGCAAACCTGGAGCTGCTGGAGTAGGTGAGCTGGGAGAAAGGGCTGGGGCAGAAATGGATTCAGCCACTGCTCAGAGGAG